GCCTAGAAGGGTTTTTCCAGTACTGAATAGATGCCGCTTGTTGCCACTGTAGAACGTCATCAAGAATCCTCTGCTCTGGTTTTTTCTTCTTTTCAGCGCAAACGGATGCCGGACAAGTGCCGAAAGAATGCTTGACTGTTTAAAGCTATGTTTCAAGTTTTCTCTCTTTAAATAGCCTCAAATGCCGACCTTAATTTATGTTCAAAGGAAAAGCTGCTGTTTAAGTGAAAGAATCATCAAAAATTGAGAAGTAAAAGCATAAAACGGTACTATGATGAGAAGAAAGAAGATACAGATTTTTCATCAGTGTATTATAAGCTTTATTTTTTAAGATACGTTCTAGAAACAACATTGCTATATTATACAGTGGTTTTACCGTGAATAAAATTCGTGGGTTCTAGTAATAATAGTTAAATATGCAGTATAACAAAGGTCGTATGTTATATATTGTTCTCAGCTCGTATTAAGCCGTTCGCCAAGTAATTTAGTCTATTTCTGCCATGTTTCGTGTGAGGTTTTCGTAGTACTAAGCGTGAGAAACAATATAGAGACGAAGAACTAGAACAGAGATAAGAAAATTGAATACCACTTTAAAAGGTCATTAGAAGCTGTTTTATAAGTTTCTAAAATATGGAGATCAGGTAGATTGGAGAAAACCACATTCACATCACAAAAGATTATGATGATCTTTCACCGAAGTATTTCAACTGTAGGAACATTGTAACAGTTAAATTGTAAATACAGGTGTGTTTTTTGTTTTGTAATTCGAAAATAACTTTTGCAAACATTGAATCGATCGTGTTGGATAAGTTCAAATAATGTCTAGCTTAAACTGTTAAGTTTTTAAACTTTATTTATTTTTGGTATCAGCAACATACAACTGACACTAATACTGCGCTATAAAAATTGCAAAAACAGCAAAGCGGTATAGGATAAATGATAACTGTACAGTGATTAAAATCACTTTTATACAATAAACAATTAATGTTTGGTAAAATTTTTGATTTTTTCTTAGATTTGATTAAACAGCCTAATGTTTTGCACAAAAAAATTCTTTCTTTGTTTGTCTTCAAAAAAAAA